TAATTCACAGTCCATCAGAGTGGGATGAGCTGTAGAACTACCCTGGAATGTTTTGGCGATATTTCACGAAAATCGGTCAAATCTACATACCCTATAAATTCGCTCAGAGTGGATGTATCCCGCTCAAAATCAGCGGACGTCGTTTTTAACCTAAGATACGACAAATGTAGATTTGATGCCGACCTCTTTGTTCGTCATTTGGGATGCCAGCGTGGAGAGGGGTGCCAGGACTGGTTTTTTGTTGCTGACGAAATGGTGTCATTCCTCTGTTCTTTGGGCCTGTTTTTTCTTTTTCTACGCCCAGGGACTCCTCTCTAATTTTGATTTTTGTGTTTTATCCATTAGAAAAGACTTTCCACCAGCAGAGAACTTTCACGTGCACGTGTGAGTTTTGTCAAGTGCGCCATGTAAACAAAATATGCAAATAACATGAAATTGCCGCGAGTATTCTCCGAGGGGGTTCGCCCATATACGAGAGAATGACACCCTCCTGATTTATTAACTTTTATTTGAAAATACGTTTTCCTAAATAAGTCGGACGCTTTCTGAGATTTTACTTTTTTTCTTTTTGTAAACGTTAGGTAAAATATCAAACTTCAATCTAGTCCAACAAAAGAAAAAACGATTTTTTCGGCCTCTGAAGGTGGGAAGTAACCAGGGCTCATGCCAGAAAATTTTCCCGATAAAGCTTTTTATGCGATCCCTCACCAAATGCCTCGAGTCTTACTTCTCATGCCATCGAAATTCTTATCAACGGTAATTATCTCAGTATAACCTAAAGACGGCCAATCAATCCCTAAAATTTAACAGGAAAACGATATAGCCTGCTAATTTCGTTCTGCGTCTGCCAAAATTGACATCACTTCACCAAACTTGATACCTGGCCAATATCTTATTCACTTAATGTGAGATCGCACCATCCATCATGCCTAAGGGCCCGTCCACACTAACACGGATTCGTTCGAATCCGTATACTTTTTGATGCGTTTAGGCCCTCCGTCAACACTAACACGCGGATCGGATCCACCGAATTCGTATAAGTTTGGAAACGCTGTTGAAAGTGGATAAAAATGAATCCGTATATCTTTCGTGCTAGTGTGTACGATCGGATCCGGATAAAAATGGAAACGATGACGTCTGCTGTACTAAGTGTTCAATAACAAGCTCACGCGCGAAAACTACACATCAAAACAAACATGGCAGACTAAAATTTGCTTCTATTGTTACTCGCTTGTTTGGAATTAAATGTCGCTCTATTTAATATATTATTGTTCTCATATAGAAGAACAACGAATCTTATGAGGGAAATAGCATTTTCTAGGACCTCGTATCGGCGAATTGGCTTAAACACACGGCAGGCCAGGACAAGAAGATTTTGAAGCTGCAAAGAGTGTTTATTTCGTACCGGCAGGAAAACCGATAATAACGCAGGCGCGTCTTTCAGAGCATGCGCAAAAGAACTAACATGCCTCACAGCAGATTCGCAGCGTGTTAGTGTGGACGGTCGGAAACGCAGTGAATACGGTAGTGTGGACTCGGATCAATCGATGCGTTTTCGGTTAAACGAAGCCGCATACTTTTGAATCCGCGATAGTGTACACGAGCCCTTAGAGAGGTTGTCACGAAAAATCAAACATTCACCGGCAACAGTAAGATCAAATGTGTTCAGATAAAATTCATATTTTAATAGGCAATTAGCAATAAAATGTAACGCCACAGTTAATTTCATCTCATAAAACTTAGTGCGCAACAAGTAAACAACTGAGTTTAAATATTTTGAAGAATGTAAATTTGTTGCTCATTTGAATCTCTTGTTGTGGATGATTGTGGCAACAATCCAAAAGAAAGAAAAGGGGATAGGCGAATAGTATCTTTGCTGTTGTGTGACAAGGAAATAGGAGGGTATTTGGCTCATTTTTCAATCACTGGTGTGTTCATCGAGTATGCCTTGATATTGAGTACAGCACTGAGCTGTTTTCCAACGACCCAACGATGTAGATACGTGGACAATATGCCCACTTCATCGCTCAAGATTTGGTCTTGGATGGACTCGAGGGGTAAATACTAAATGCAGAGTGCCAACAAACATTTTCAGGCGTACCATGGAGTAGTTTATGATGTCGAGCAATGTTCACTGTGACGCTACGTTTTATTACCGATTGCCTATAAGTAGTGACAAGTTAAAAAAATACGAATTTTCAACTAAACACAAAACCTCTCATTCGTACTCTTTGGATTTCATTTAAAACATTTCCAGCAACTTTTCTATTTGAGAAATTTCAAATCACTTGCATAATGAGGGTCTCCCAGGGGAGTCCTTGTTCCCTTGTTACCTTCCAAAATTGTCCTATGTTCCCATGTTCCTACACTGTTTCCTTATTTGTTCCCCGTTTAACAAATTTGCTAGCCACATATCACCGCCCTCAATTCCCTCCCGCAAAAAAGAAAGTCACCTAAAAAACGAAACTTATAAAAGAATAGAATACGTTCTATGAGACGTTCAATTTTTGTGACATCATCTCGAACAACTGAGTGAAATTCCCAATCCATCAGAGTGGGATGAGCTGTAGAACTAACCTTAATTCACTATCCATCAGAGTGGAATGAGCTGTAGAACTAACTTTAATTCACAATCCATCAGAGTGGGATGAGCTGTAGAACTAACCTTAATTCACAATCCATCAGAGTGGGATGAGCTGTAGAACTAACCTAATTCTCCTGGTTAATTATCATAATACATAAACTCGTCCAAGTTTGCCATCTTCCTTGCGGTCTTTAGTTCTTATATCAGAATATTTTCTCCTCTAATTTGTACAGTTTTGTTCCCCTGTTCCCTAAAAATAGGCTTATGTTTCCTTGTTCCCTTCAATATTTTGCCAATGTTCCCTTGTTCCCCAAAACCCCTGGGAGACCCTCCCTAATAGGCCAATTGCGTGACACATAAGTCACGCAGTGACAAGCATGTCTACTTATTTATTTAAAATGAATGCTTTCGGAGAAAAAAAAAACTTCTTTCGTTTTGCAAGTACTTTTATATCATTCAAGTATCTATTATTACCACTGAAGCTCACAAACTGGAAATGATAAACAAAGTCGGTCTTTTCTCCTATGTCGCCGTCTTCGCCGAAGAGCTAAATTTTTATGAATTTAAAGCCCTCGTATGCATAGCAGCACAAAAACCCCAGAACAACAACTCTTAAAACGGTAGGTCTATTGTTTCTACTCGGCATATTTCAAATATTAAACGTTTATTTCACTTAGCACATATAAAAATAATTTTTGAAGCTACCCATTTTTCACACGGCAATTAAAGTGCCCCTGAGATCAAAATTTTCGTACATCATTTTTTTCCATTTTCGTGTTCAGTGTCTCTCCTTCAACTACTCTGCCAAATTTCAGTTTAGACCGAGCACCAGAAATATCTTTTTTCGGGCCATTAAATTCACGATTTCGCGTCCGCAATTATTTGATCATGTCCCGGAAGTTGATCGCAGGACTCAGAGGAAGTGACGTCAAAGGCTCAATGCGAAAATCTCACAAGGCAAAATGTCAAGCAAACATAACAGAGTGCTTTACTCTATTCTTACAAAAACTAAACAAAAATGACTGGGCATCGATGCGTAATTCAAAGCTGAAGTAATCGTTCAGACCATGCTGCAGGTATTCTCTGCATCGGAGCCTTGCAAATAGATCGGAGCGGGAAAAACGGATTTGTGTGACCTCGTGAAGTAAACTTCAATCCTACAGAAATATTTGTGATCTACTCCGAACACTTCTCAGAGGACTGTTTCGAGAGATCTGTGTACTTTGAAGGATAAAGGCGAAGAATTCTGTCGGGTTTAGTGCCTACCATTCAAGAAGAGAGGAGACAAGAAAAACCGTCTTCAGTGCGATCTCGACGCCGGAAAGCGAAGTCTACGAACCTCCACGGATTTTGTCACCTTTACATATGAGCTGATAAATATCCACCTTTAACAACTCTCTGGCAGAATACCTTGCACAAAGGAAAGTACTCGGTGAACATTGTAAATAAGAATGATAAA